AGAGAGAGTAGTAGAGAGAAGAAGTAGTAGGTTAGGTTAGGAGAGAGGAGAGAGAGAGTTTGAGAGAGAGAGATGGGTTTGAGCTTGATAGTTGTAGAGGGGGAGAGCTTATTTTTGGAGAGAGAGTGGAAAGAGAAACAAAGAGTTTGATGGTAAGGGAGGAGAGAGAGAAGACGCGTTTCTTGAATTGCAGTTTTTGAGGTGGCAGGTATAAGTGCCAGGGGGCAGGTTTAGGAAAGCTTGAACGGGTATTAAATGTTCTTCTAAAACCTTATCGTGACTATTCGTTCTCAAAACTCCTTTCATCAATGTCGTTGGCATATGGCAAATGGGTACACGAGCTGGCGTACCGAATCCACTCCCCTATATATATATTTATAATGTATTGGAGAATGATTTCATACAACGGTTGTATTATAATATAATAAAACAATCTTTAAAAACCATGTTAGAGTCATTTGTTTGACCTCAGTTTTTAAATGTAGACTCTTTTCATTCTCATAAACAATCACAAAAAATAAAAATTTGAAAACATACCTTGGAAAATATTTTTTTAGCTCAATTAATAGAGGCCGTCCATTTTGGTGAGATGATTAGATCTAAGTCTGAAAAGAATTTTTTTCATTTCTAAATTTTTTTTGTCTTTTTTATTATTAGATGAACAATGTTAAAAATGAAAAAGTTGATTTTGACTTTGTAAAGGCCGATATCTTGAAATTCACCAAATGGATGGTCTAGATTCATTGTTGGAGGGGGACTCATTTTGAGCATATCTAGAGTGTGAGTTGAATTTTACTTTTTCTATGATTGATTATTGGAATGAAGAGCGGGTGTGTGTAATTTTTGGGGTCGTACAAATTCCAAAACCATGATTTTCTAGAAACGTGATTTTATTGTATTATAATAACACCGTGACATAAAGTCATTCCCCTATATATATACACACACACACACACGATGAGACCATTTAGTTTTGGTACAAGGTGTTAACCATTGGATGTGAAGTTAGATGGCTGCATTTATTCCATTGACCAAGATCAAACTTTGAAAGAAATTTTCTCAAACTTTGTGACACCCAAGCTGTCAGATTTCACTATTAGGATGGTATT